GCCTCTGGCCCGACTTTTGCAACGGCTCGTACACCCAGTACTGCGATCTCAAGCGCCAATACGACCCTCTTCCTTCGCCCAACACCACCAATGGCAAGCCCGACGGTACTCCCGTCCCTGCTTACAATGGTACCTCCATCGACAAGTTCATCACTCCTTTCGAGAGATTTGACCTTCTGGAGTACATGAACAAGTGAGTCTCCTCCGTTCTGGGCGCAACTGATCCATCACTTGCTTCGAGTCGCACGCCCTTGGTTTCGGTTGCCTAACAACAATAGGTTCTGGATCGCTCTTGGAACCCCCAACTGGGTCCTCTGGGCCCACGAGTTCTCCAAGCACGCCACCTGCTTCAGCACCTTTGACGTCGAGTGCTATGGCCCCAAGTACCAAGAGCACGAGGAGCTCGTCGACTTCTTCGAGACCGTCGTCCACTACTACAAGGAGACTCCGACCTGGAAGTGGCTGGCTGAGAAGGACATCAAGCCTTCCAACACCACCGCCTACTCGCTGTCCGACATCCAGGCCGCCTTGACCGAGGGCCACGGCGCCATCCCCTACCTCGGATGCAGCGGTCCCCGCTATAACACCACCGAGGCAGGCAAGGGCTCCCTCGATAACGGCTTCACTCAGCTTGGCGAGGCCTGGTATTATTTCCACGTTTACGGCAGACCCCAGCGCGGCGAGGGAATTCCTGTTGCCGCTGACAGCAACGGCGGCAGCGTTTCCAACTGCGCCAAGACGGAGGGTGCAATCTGGTACTATGAGCGCTCCGAGGGATCGGTGCAGTAAATATTGTATAGCGAAAGTTGAAAAGTCTCTCTCGTAGACATACACGTAGTAATACATAATCGTATCCCTGTAACCCGATACCTCTCTTACGAACAACCGTGTTCGTCCAAAATGTAAAGATCAACACTTGCGATCTCAATTCAAAGTCAACTACCGCAGTCTTTGCCATTCAATTGAGTATTCTAGGAAAGTGCCAAAGCAACCATTGATATGTACCAGCATGGCTTTTCCCTCCCGAGCCCAGGTGACAGCATGCTGGACGCTGGGTATATCTACAAGTACAGCTCACAACCAAATGCCCTAACGCCTGTCTGATGCAAATTACTTCGTCAACGATGCATCTACTCGTCCTCTTCCTCGACAGCCGGGGCGACATAACCGGCACGCTGGGTAGGCTCAGATGCAATCTGCGTCTCGGTCGCGGTCGTCGTCGCAGAGGCGGGGAGAGGTTGTCCAGTGGACGCAGCGAAGGTGCCGCCAGCGCTCGCAGCGCCGGAGGAGGAGGATGCCTTCTTCTTCTTTCCCTTCTTGGGGTTGGGCTGTTCATTGTTAGTCGGGCTGGGCATTATCAACTAGGGTTTCGCGCGCTACTTACGTCGTGCCAGGCCCACACGGGCTTGAAACTGTCAACGAACGAAACATCCTCCCACAGGTTGGGGAAGAGCCAGAGACCGGGAGAGGCGACGAAGTAGGTAATGCAGAAGAGAATGACGCGGAAGATCGCCATCAGGAAGAACAGTCCTGTTCAAGTTAGACTTATAATCATCTGGTAAAGTCTCAGTCCTCTTACCTAGTAAGCCCAAGAATCCCCAGCTGAGGTAGTAGACACCGAGACGGAGCTTGAGAGGCCACAGGGGGTAGCAGACGACGATGAAGATCAAGACGAGAGCGGCGAGAGCATAGAGACGGGTTTTGACCTGCGATCCCTCGTAGAGCCAGACGTAGTACATGTCGTCTCCGGCCTCTTGCTGAGGCTCAATGCGAACGGTCCACAGGCCCTTGACACGCTTCGTCTTCTTGGGGCCGTGATCATGACCCTCATGGGGGTCAGACTTGACAACGCGAAGAGCGAGCATGGACATAGGCAGCAGCTTAAAGGTGTTCTCGAGGGAGGCGCGATCGGTGATCTCGGGGAGTTCGGGGTGCTTCTGGCGAAGCTTCGCGTAGCCGGGGGCCTGTAGCGCGCGAAGGGCACGCTTGACTCTGAACATGTCCTTACGCTCGCCGTTCAGGATACAAGTTCGGGGCTTGAGGTCGCAAGTTCTCAAGTAGCCGGCAAGCGCGAGCGCCATGGGATTCGGGGGTCCAGGCTGAATACTGCAAACATGTCAGTTAGCGATTGAGAGATAATGACTGAAACCGTGGGCGACTCACGGTCTGGCAACACCCTGCTGCTGCTGCTGTTGGGGAGGGCCATGCTGGTGTCCAGGGCCATGCTGATGACCATGGTGCTCATGATCATGGTTGTGCTCACCAGCCTCTCCGCCCTCGCCAGCCTGCGCCTGAGCCTCTGCCTGGGCTCTCTGGGCTGCCATCTGTCGTTGCATGGCCTCCTGGCGCAGCTTGTTGAGGAAATCGGGGACACTCATGCCGGCCTTCTCGGCTGTTCTGGAAGTCAGTACTTTTTCGCACCATCGCGACCAGCGGAGAGCTCACCATCCATTGCGATCTGCCGGCGCATGGCGGCAATTTGCTCAGGAGACGGCTGCATAGGTCTTCCGTCAGGGCCCATGATCATGGGCATCGGCATTGCGCCCGGCGGAGGGCCACCCTGTGGTTGTTGGGGTTGCGACATGTTGGCAAGTTGGACGCGACTAGGTTGACGCGATAGCCAATGGACTGTTGTGCGTCTGCGGCCGGTAAGTTTGGTCAAGCAAGCGCTTGCGACGAGATGTGGCCGATTGAAAGAATCTAGCGACAACGACAGCCCAAAAGGTGTTGGTTGAAGAAGTTGGAATCCGTCGAGGTACGGACTGTGGTCGTGGGCTTTTGGGTCTCGAGCAAAAGCGGCCCCAGCAAGCAAGCCAGGTGTTCACTTCGCCCAAAAAATCCGTGCAGGGGTAAGGTCCACTCCAGTCCGCCCGCGTCCATAACGGTTCGGCTCTCTCTTTCTCCGGGGACCGTTATCGATAAGCCCTGCGAGCCGACATGGATGGTGTGGGTGCTCAGACCACACTCAAAGACATTGGAAGCTCTGTTGGTTCCTCTCTTATCGTCCTTATCGTCATCTCTGTCGTCTCTGTCATGTCCCCGTCGTCCTTCTCGTCCTTTTCATCCTTCTCTAAGCCATTATTGTCCTTGCCATCCCTTTTATTACTATCGCTCGGAACAATCTGATTCATTTGTAGGCAGTTGAATGCCTGGCCGGGCACCGAACTTCTGTGTCTGATGCTGGCAGAAGCCTCTACACGTGATGGAGTAGGTAAGCTGAGTGTACTTGCCTTAGGTAATCACAAACAAGCGGAGAATGGAGGGGTTCTCTAAATGATTACTTACATAAGACGAAAACGCTCCGGTCCAAGCCCCTCTTCCTGCTTGCTGCTGCTGCTGCTATCCCTCCACACTGTGGCGGTTTGCCCGAGACATTTTGTTTGCGCTAGAGTAACACGAGAAGGCCTGCGGAAGCTTCTCGTCCACCGGTTTTCTTCACAAGAGACGATGACGAGGGACTCCGCCACGCTTTTAAGCAGCGATTCCCGGCTACTCATCCAGCTTGACTCGAGTCATCACCAGCCCGGCGACATGTTTCTCTTCAACCAACCCGACGGTTGCAACCACTACGGGCAGAAATATCGCCGCGGGAATCAAGTGACGCTCATTCCGATTCCGTGAGGGGATTATTATTAGAACCAAGGAAAGAAGGAAGGAAGGAAAAACAGGAGACGGAGGCAAATGCAGGCCAGAGCGGAGCGCTGCAGAACACACCACCCGCCCGCAGTCTGCCAGCCCAGCCTCTGCTCCCCACAACGATCGCGACCTGTCGCCATCATAAGCTTCAATCTGGCCAAGGCAGCCTGTCGGCATCGCCCTCCCCGTGTGTGCGACCCTTCAACGGCGATGCTCTCCTGCAGTGGGAGACGCGCTGGGCTGCGATGGGTGTTATGATGGCACAGCGCATCCCCCCAGTCCGTCAGATAGGCTTCCCGCGTTCCCTCCCCCGTGCTACCCGCGGTGCCTTGCATGCTTTGATGGAAATTTTTCATTCGCCTGCCGTGCGCTCACGTTGGAACATGTCACCGAATTACTGGGATTGCCGTGCCGTTTGGGCGGCCAGATGGGCTGCGCCGCAGTGATTGGCCCGTCAGATTAGGCCGCTTCATTTCGCCCGACTGGAAACAACACGCTCACTGCGCGGTTTCGAAATACCATTCAGCCGTGGCCCTGTTTGTCAGTATTTTTCGACAGAGAAGGGTTCGTGGGGCCCAGCCCAGAATCGGTGGGAATGACAAGGGGCGGTGACGGTGACTGGCATCAAGCTGGATGACGGTTCGTCGACTGGCACGAGACCCTCCTTCGGAGGGGCACTTGTGGCAAGCTGCTGCTGGTCAAGCTGCCTCCGGGTAACCAGAGCAAGGCAGAGGTGAGACATCGACTCGCTGAGCCATCGTCTTCATCTTACACGAGTGGTGGAGTCCTGCAATCTGGTGCAGGATGGTGGTGTAGCGCCAGCCATCCGAATCCGACAGACCCCCAGCTTCCTAAGCGCCGGTTGGCCGGCCGTGTCTGGCCCCGTCTGCAACCCCGGCCTATCAGAGCGGCCCGTCTGCATCTCAACTGCACACCTCGCCGACAATTGCCCAGGCCCTTGTCCCTCCCATGTTCCTCTCAGCTGGGCCTATGAAGCAAAGCAAAAGAGCAAAACCTCTGGCTGGAGGTGGGCATTTGGGACGCACAAATTTGCCAGGGAACGAACGCGGGTGAGCTTGGTCGGGCCCAAGTGCGTGCTTGCCGGGTATGTCCAAGTCGTGTGGTGGTGTGTACGTGTGTGAGTGGGCTCTTCTCTTCTCATCTTGCAGGTTGCCTGCCGTCTTGCCTCCCGCCGCTGCGTTCTCTGTTATAACTCAATCGGAGCACTTGGATCTTTGTTTCCTGCCGCCCTCTCTGCATCTTCCCTTTTCTGTTTCTGTCAAATCGCTGGCCGTCTTTCGTTATTTTGTTTTTTTACCCAATGTTCCCAGCGTTTTCGGCATGAAGCATCTTGCGAAGCAGGTATGAAGGGTTTGAGTGGCATGCTTGCAGACGTTTATACGACATGGCTGTCGCCCCTCACTCATTGTTGCACACCGTTGTCAACCTGCCTGGACGAAAAGCCGCGTCAAAGTGAGTCCACAGCCCCGGCGAAGTCCGGCGCAGGAAAACATCATACATATACCTACCGGACACTAACCAACCCGCATAGACACCTTTGACATTTCTGAGAAACTGCCGTCCACCGTGACCCGCGACCAGCCCGTGCCCATGCCGCCGCCTTTTGCAGGTACGATGCAGAAGCCTGCCGGACCTCGCTCTCAGCCGGTGAAGTCGAAGGGAGTCAAGAGAGGTTTTGCATCGCTCCGGGAGCGGTTCTCTGTGAGAAAGCGATTTCGCTCAGACTCCTCTTCGCCGCGCCGGCTACAAATATCAGGACCTACCGACTTCCGCCATCTGCACTCCGAGTCTTTCCAGTTTCCTCAGTACACGACTCTTCAATCTGTTGGCCACACAATGCCGCCACGGCCAAAACGTCTATCTCGGACTCGTCCGGCGTCCTTCAGGCCGCTGGAGTTGAGCATCTACGTGCCGAAAAGGGAGCTGTCGCCTATCCTGCCTCACTTCGAGATGCTCACCCCGCCACCACCTGCCCGTGTTCAGCCAAACCCCGACGACGACGTCTTTGGGCCTTCGCATGAGCCGAGCTACTCCTCCATGTCATTCCACCTGCCGCGGAAGATCTCAATGTCGCCCTCAACATTGACAATGTCTCCGGGTGACACCCCGCCGAAAATCCCGCCCAAGTCGAGAGCTCGGTCGCAAACGTCATCCAGTGTGGAACGGATGAAGGAGCGCATTGCGGGTGCCATGCTGGAGGTCGACAAACTTCAGCGGGAGATCGACTTAGTCATGGAGCGTCAGAGCATTTACGTTAGCAGTCGACCTTCGACAGCTCATTCGATGGCACTGACAACGCACGGTAAGCCCGGTCCATGGCCCAAATTTAGCAAGTCCCACGGCGCTGACAAAATTAGACATGGATCCCATACCCACGGTCCCCGCGCTCCCACCAGCCGCACCCTCGTTTGCAGAACGCCTGAACCCCGGGGTCGACCGTCCGCACACGGCGCCGCCCCGGCCGCCGCTGCACATTCCCCACCGCGGCATGGCCTTCGCCGATGCCTCAGCGGCCTTTATCACACCACCCCCGAGCCGCGGCAGAGAGGCCCGACCGCCGCCGCCGCCCTTGCCGCTCGTTCTTCGCCCGCCGCTGCGCAAGAAGAAATCCTTCTCGCGCGTGTCCAGCTGGCTGTTCCCTGGAGGTGCTGCAGAGCAGCACCATCGGAACATCAGTCACGATTCCATCACTAATCTTCCCCGCCCCGTCAAGGGGCGCGAGGGCTTCTACCAATGTGTCCATGCGCCGCGGGACGGGCGCACTAGTTTTGACACGGCGTCGACTGTATCGACGTGGGAGTCGGAAGACGGAGGCCAAACGGTCCCGACGACGTGGTCGCCCGGCAGCACCCCCGCCACCAGAGCGGAGGAGCACCCGCCGCTGGAGCGCGTAACCACCTTTGGAAAGGAAAAAGACACGATTGCCCCTCGACGGGGCAGCGTCGGTGTGGCGTTTTGATGAGAGCGGTTTTACTGTATTCTTTTTTGTCTCACATGATACCAAATGTTTGCTCTGGGGGAGGGTGACGATGATACCATCCATATTGTAAAATCATACCATGGGGATAGAGGACTGGGGCGGTTACCTATTGTTTTTTTCCGGATACTTAATAATAGTGGCGCCCGGGATGGCCAAGGACATTGAGAAGGAAGTGAATGAAGAAACGCGTCCACGTCAACTTGTTTGTTTATTGTGTCTCGGTGTCCATGTGTCTCGCCGTCATGTTGCATCGGACGCTGACGTGTCTTGGTGAGAGTGACGGTTGTTTTCGCCGAGCCAGACTCCGACTGAAACGGAAAAAGATCTCGGATAGAAGATCAAACAATGAACGCCTGCTCAACCGTCTGACTAATATTTCCGATCCGAGTCTCGAATGTTCGGTCGGGGTGGGTCCGACGGCAGTTTTCAATGACAAAGAGGCCATTTGGCAGCTCTCCACTCGCTTAAATGAAGCTTCATCTGAACTTCGTCATAGCCCGGCAATTTGGTCTTCCCCATCGTTCAGAGTTTGACATTTCGTACTGTGACGCGCGCCATCTCAAAAACGCCAGATGCATTTTTGATAACAGAATTAGGACTTTGGTGGCAGCGTTCTAGAAGGCATGGGAAGACCGAGACAAGAAACAGTCGAAGGTTTGTGGCTTGCAACGGCGATTGACACGCAGTGGCCTGAGTAATGGAAGGAAGGCATGGCGCATCAAACACCGAGCAATGAACCTGTATAGAGATGGCACAGGCGAATCAGCGTCGTAGATTCTGGCCAGATACTGGCAGGGGATCGTCGTTCGATCCGGAAACCCCAGAACCGAAGGTGCCCCTGCGCCTTCCTCTTGCATGTAACCCTGGTAAACCCCATTGGACCTTAAACGCCTCCGCTTTCATCACCTCGACGTCCAGACCAATCCAACTTATATCAACAGCATATATTCCAGCCTCGGGGCAAACTTAGGGGAGCAGCCTTTTCCCTTTAGACAACACTTCATCTTTCCTTCTGCAAACCTTCTAGCTTTCCGACATAAATATCGATACATTTATCCGACAAACACTTCGACGATGGGGACAGGATGCTGCTCGGATGGCCCTGCCAAGGGTCAGGGATGCAGCGGTCCTTCGACTGAGGTTCAACACGCCCACGACCAGGAAACCGATCCTTGCAGCTCCGACGGCGCAGACTGTGGTGGCGCCGAAGAAGTCGCTTGCGTCGACGAGGATTGCGACGCCGAAACCTACTGCGAAGCCGAGGACGACTCGACTTGTCGTTCCGTGAAACTCGAATGCTGCACTTCAAAGGAAGAGCACTGCGACGGTATACACTCTGTGCCGGTTCGACATGTCCTCTTCTAACTCCGTTACACAGAGAAGTGTATCCTTGCCGCTGCTGCCGTCGAATGCGAGAAGGCCTGTGACGACGACGCTGCCCACGACGGTACGTGTTACACCTCATGACTAGTGTTTGTCTCAAGACTCATGTCGTTCTCAATGTAGCCGCCGCCGACCATAAGCATGCTCACGACAAAGATGGCCATCACCAGGGCTCGGCTTGCAGCACTCATCTCTCCAAGGCCTTTGAGCAGTACAGCGCCTATCTCGAGTCGGCTCGTTGCATTTGCCGCAGCATTCTCGATCGCGGTCTGCCGACCACTTGCTGCAGCGAGCAGCAAACTGTCGCTGCCGCTGCCGCTGCCGCTCCCGTCTCGGCTGCCACCTCCGTCAAGAAGCGCCGCGAGAAGACCGAAGCCCACACGACCGCCCATGCTCACGGCCAGCACAAGCATCATCACCACCACGGAATTAAGAGACGTGGCAAGAAGCTTGCGCACGATCATGACATGGAAATTAAGCCTGTCCGCGACGACCAGTCCGACTGCTGCAGCGGACACGATGTCCACCTCCCCTCCGCCAACAAGGAGCAGCATCATCAATTCGATGGCGCTGATGTCGAGAAAGGTGCCGGATTGGAGCACGTCGCTCTTATCGTCGACGGCATGACTTGTTCTGGATGTGGCAACAAACTTGAACGTACTCTCAAAGCCGCCCCTGGCGTGACTGGCGTCCGCGTCAACTTTGTTATGGGGAATGCAGAGTTCGGCTTTGATAGCTCTGTTGGCAAGGCAGAAGATGTTATACGCAGCGTAGAGCGAGCCACGGGCTTCCACTGTACCCGAATGTCTAGCGATGACCAAGCGCTCGATATTCTCGCGTCAGGTGGAGCTGCGAAGGCACTCGCCGACCTCGCAATTCTCGGGGTTAGCGACGTCAATATCATTGACAAGAAGATGGTTAGAGTCACCTACGACCCAGCGGTGATCGGCGCGCGAACTCTTCTTGAAAAGATTGGCCCCCTGTCCAACGGACTGGCTCCTCCCCGCGATGATCCATCTGTCGCAAGCGGAAGAAAGAGAATGTACGACCAGTTGATCAAGACAGCTGCGGCTGCCATCCTTACCATACCTGTCGCAGTCTTTGCGTTTGGTGAGGAGTCACTGAAAGAGCACGTCAGCAAACAAGCGCGTTCAATCACTTCGCTTGTGCTTGCGACACTCGTGCAGCTTATTGCTGTGCCAGAATTCTACAAGCCCGCTATCTCAGCCCTCATTCATAGCCGGACTATTGAGATGGACATGTTGGTTGTCATCAGCATCACTGCTGCCTACGTCTACTCCGTTGTCGGCTTCGGTTTGCGCCAGGCGAACCCGAATGCAGATGCCAAAGAGTTTTTCGAAACCAGCACTTTGCTAATCACCCTTGTCCTGCTTGGTCGCCTCGTCGCCGCCTATGCTCGCATTCGTGCTGTGGCCGCCGTTTCCCTTCGCTCCCTGCAGGCTTCTTCTGCGGTCATTGTGGAGGACGGCAAAGATGTCGAAATTGATGCGCGTCTTCTTCAGTACGGCGACAAGTTCAAGGTTCTTCCGCATTCAATGGTACCCACGGACGGCCTCGTCATTAGTGGTTCCAGCGAGGTTGATGAATCCATGCTGACTGGAGAGAGTGTGCCTGTCTTCAAAAAGCAGCATGACACTGTCATCGCCGGTACCATCAACGGATCAGGCACACTCACGGCACAACTCACCCGTCTCCCGGGGAAAAACACCGTCACTGACATTGCGGAACTCGTCGAAGAAGCGGCAAACTCGAAGCCAAAGATTCAGGACATTGCCGACCGTATTGCGAGTTGGTTTGTACCTGTTGTGGCCAGTATTGCCGTCATCGTGACCATTGTCTGGGTGGTCATTGGCTTGAAGGTTTCGAAAAAGTCAGCAGGCAAAGCGGTAGCTGACGCCGTTACTTACGCCGTCGCTGTTCTGGCCGTGTCATGCCCTTGCGCGCTTGGTCTCGCTGTCCCCATGGTGCTAGTTGTTGCAGGAGGTATCGCCGCGAAGGGTGGCGTCATCATTAAATCGGCCGAATGTACAGAACGGGCACGCAAAGTGACTGACGTCGTCTTTGACAAGACCGGAACCATCACCGAGGGTGACTTGGACGTTCAGGAAGAAGAGATCTTCGTCTCTGATCACGACGAAGCCCGTGCCATCACCAAGGCTCTCGTCGCAGGCAACAAACACCCCGTATCCGTCGCCATTGCCAAGCATCTCGCTCAGCGGGCTACCCCTGAAATTAAGCTCACCGACCCTCAGGTTATTCCTGGCGCTGGTGTTGAAGCCAGCTTCAATGGAAGCAAAGTTTGCGCGGGAAATCCAACGTGGGCGAAGGTTGACTCTTTGCCATCGGTCAAGCGTCTACAGGATGACGGAATGACCCTTCTGGTGGTCACCCGAGACTCTAACCTCATTGCAATCTTTGGTTTGCGCACCCGTCTCCGAAACGAAGCAGTCAGCGTTGTCAACCAGCTCAGTCGTCGCGGCATCAACATTCACCTCGTTTCTGGTGATCAAACACGGGCTGTTGAGTCGGTTGCATCGCAAGTTGGTATTGTCAATGTCGCCGCTCAGCGAACCCCCGCCCAAAAGCGTGACTATGTTGCTTTGCTCATGTCCGAAGGCAAGATGGTCATGTTTGTCGGTGACGGAACCAACGACGCTGTGGCAGTCACGCAAGCCGATGTTGGTGTGCAGCTTGGCAGCGCCGCCTCAGCAAGCGATGTTACTCGTGGGGCCGCGGATGTGGTTCTGCTCGCAGGTCTGGAGGGTATTCCCTTCTTACTCGATGTCAGCCGCTCCAGCTTCAGACGCATGATGTTCAACTTTGTGTGGTCAGCCGTGTACAATGTTCTTGCCATCCTTTTGGCAGCCGGTGTGCTCCAGCGCTACAATGTCACCATCCCCCCTGCCTACGCTGGACTGGGTGAAATTGTCAGTGTGTTGCCCGTCATCGCAACCGCCATGACGATGATGAGAAGGAAGGTTCGGGCTGAAGCCTAGATGTGAGATGTTGAACTTGTGCACTAGCCTGGCTGGCACGTTCAACACTCGCGGGCTCAGGCGGAGAGTTTTCTTTTTCGTCATCGCCGGTCGGTGGCGGCTGTGAAGGGTAAAATGGGGCGGTTCAACACCTGGTCAAGGTCGTGGATTCTGCTGGTCGATTCGTCAACGTTTGCTTCACTTGCGGCTCCTCTGAAACTGGGCGCACCACCAAGCGTACTGTCTACTAGAGCGTGTCTGCTACACCTCACTCGACGTGAATTATACTTAGTCGTGATTGCCTGGAGGCTGCTACTCAAAGTATACGGCTAGGGCTAACAGCCTTCGGGCACTAAATCACCAATACAAAACTACAATTGCGAGTCACTAAAAGATTGTTGTGTGTCCGTGAATGTCCTTACGTATGCCAAGGTCAAGTCGTGGTCTCTGTTTTCGCTATGCAGCCGTGTTGAGGAGCTGGGAGGTCGAGCTTATGATCTGCTATTACCATTGTTGTAGTCTTACGTGAGTCGTATGAGAGGTATTCAACCATAAACGGTGTACTACGGCCGATCCACCAGTTGAGAGGTCATGAAAGCA